CAAGCCCCATGYCACACCCACTGATACTGGGTTACTTAAAGAGATTTTCATTTTGGTTTGTTTACTTTATTGCATCGCCATTTGTAGTTGTCTGCACTGGAAATAATTCATTTTACGTTCTTTGTWTCTTATTTTGTGTTTTGCTAACCGCTGAAGTAACTCCAAGCCTTCGCTGTGGAGACTTTGGATCATTTTTATACTTTTATTTCAAATATTTTTAGTTGTGGTTTCTTCAATGTTTTTTTCGTTTCAACATTTCGACATTTTTTCAAAATAAAGGTTGCCTCATTTTTTATTTTGCTTTGTAACCATGGCCTTTATAACTATCAAATAAGAATGTTAGCATTTTATATTTGAGAAATTTTTAATAAATTTGGTTATTTACAATTGAGACTATATTTTGAATACAATAATAAAATGTTTRTATTGCTAGTCGAAAAAGTATTTTCGTATTTCTAATCAAGCTTCAACKTATCCTCTTTATATTTATAGTGAATTCTAATGAACCAAATATGTCCAATTTTTCCGCTAGAGACGTTATTCATCAGTATAAAACTTTTCGATTACTCGGCGAAAAATTGCGACAAACTTCTCCTGGAGCCAATTTTACTCCATTAATGGAATTCTGCATTGACCGAAACAAATGGTAGTCCGATGGGGCAAGATTAGGGCTATATGGTGGAAGCATCAAAACTTCCCACCCAAGCTCAAGCGTTATCCTGATAGAAGACTATGCCCTTTCCGCTGATCAGTTCTGACCGTTTTTTTTTTTTCGTTTGCTTGCATCAATCTTATCAATTGTTGACAGTAAAATGTTCGACTAGACAGAAACAGGTTACAGGGGTGATTCCTTCCCAATCCCACCAAACACTCAGTATTACCTTTCGAGGCGTCAATCCTGGCTAAGCAACCATTTGTTGAGATTCACCACGCTGGCACCATAATCTTTTCCGCACATGTTGTCGATTTTTATCCACCTTTCATCTCCAGTTACCATTCGCTACAGAAATGGGTCGATTTCATTTCGTTTCAGCAAATAATCGCAGATGTTAATGCTGATACAGCACCGTCTCCGTAAGCTATAAATTGGCAAAAAGTGAGGTCTCTCATCGAGWGTGGTCCCCTGGGTCAACGACACCATAGTCAAGGCCATTATGTTCTATGTAGTCTTTATGTGGCGAAGAGCTCTACAAAAGGCCACACTTGTAAAAAAACTTGAATGCGTTATACCGGCGAGAAAGCTATGAGTAGGAAGAAGAYATTGGAGGAGAGGGTGAGAGGTTAGAGGTGAGCTTCTTGAGTTTCGACCCCGTAATGAACTAAATAGCAGTCACACATCACAGTGCACACGATTACTCATGCTCTGTCATAAATATTTTGTTGATATATATAGTATTAAATGGTGTTGATTTCAGGTAAGGTTTTAATTAAATCAACAATAGCAGTATGGCAATTCTAATTCGTACGTGTTTTTGTTGCCGTTGTGGTTCGCTGGCTTCAACTCATTCATTTCATTTCATTTTTGCACATTTCTTGGCTCTGCATTTKCTAAATTTTTGTTTTTCATTCAGCTGGGCAGCAGGGAGCTAAGTATCAAATTCTAATTTATTGCAACAATAAAACTTGTTTCAGCTGTTCTTTCAACTGCATTGCCAGCCAGTTCGGTTGCCGGCTGCAACGTTTTGATAAATAARTTTTGATAATTCACAAAATATTGTGGTAATGCAAGCATTTCTCTCTCGAGCGAGAGAAATTAATAAGCGCAACTGAAGCAAGAAAATCTCGGTGTGGAGTAATTGTCGGCAGTGATACACATACAGACGTAGACTTGAAGATGTTTACATATAAAGATTGACTTGATAAAAATAGCAAAATTTATTAATAAATTTAGATATGTTTTGATTCAAAGAAAGTACACATATTTTTGATATTATGCTTTTACATTATTTTTGTTTTTATTATTGCACTTTTTAATATTTATTTAAATTTGAATGCTCCAAATACACAACGGCAGTGTGGAGTTTCATTTAAATCTGGAAAATTTCTAGCTAAGCTCCAATTTGATGAAAATAAAATTATTATTAACTATATGGATGATGATGGTCTCAACATATTGCCAAAACTAAAGAATATAATTAATAATTACTAGAAATTCAAGATCATAACAGCTGAATTCCTTAAAACTAAAAATTAACAAATAAGAAAGKGTTAAGTTCGGRTGCAAGCGAACATTTTRTACTCCTGAAATTTGCAAGAATCAAAGCCAGGGAAATAATAAATAATATATAAGACGTCAACTAGAGGATCGGTATCTGAGCAATGTTATAKAACTCATACACTGACCGACATATTTGGCATAAGGTTTGTTAGAAAAACGAAATTCATTATATGTATGTAGTATATGCTAGTTGGGGTAATATCGACCAGATATTATCTAATAACTATTATCATGCCACATATTAAAAAATTTTCATTGAGCTTCATTAAGCTACAACACGTGCAAACACTAATAAGAGAGCMAAGTCAGCCGGATCTTCGGAAATCYTGATATTAGTTATACGAAGGCTAGGTCAAGTTTTGCCTATTTTAATCTATTTCAAGTAGAAGGATACACTGTTATGAGCACATAACGCTTTATAATTTTCATTGAGATATCTCACATATTGGCCGATATATTCAGTTAGTGTCACCTGGAAATTCGAAAATGATTATATTAGGTATATGGCTTCAACCTATTTTTGACACACACACAATTACTATTGTTAGGATAGGATTCTGTCTGAATTTCAATTTACCGATATTTTCGGCCAAAAGTGACCTATAGATACTGGGTTCTCTGGGTGTTCTTTAAAAGAATTATTAGTGTAAAATTTTATTCCGTTATAATAATCGCTTCTTGATATGTGCGCTGGTAAATGAAAGAATCAAATGGAATACAAAATTGTGGTATACTTCGCATTTTAATTTTCATACTGTGAGATAGAAATATAAGGAAAATGCCAAGTACCAATTTTTGCCAAAATCAGTTGATCGGGTCCCGAAATACATAATTTTAACAAAATGTAGGCGGTGCCACGGCAATCAGTTCTTATAATATTTGCGCTAAGTAAATTTGGCTTTTGTAGCTTTAGTAGTTTAGAAGATATATAAATTAGGCTTATTAGAGAACGGAGCCATGCCCACTTTTTCAACATTTCTTGCCTACAGGTGTCCCTCGATCCCCTGAGCTGAACACCCATCTACAAACTAATTTTTTTTTTAACTAAGGAAGATCATCATCAAGATATCTCAATTTTTACTCAAATTACAGTTTGCACGAACAGTCACCCGGATCTCGACTTTTCTCGTCATCCTGATTTTTTATATGTAATTTACCTTAAATCTCGATTAGTTTTAGGTGATATCTACAACCGTTAGATGAACAAAATTCTTTTACGCTGTAGCAATAAGTTGCAAGCATATAARGATTGTAGGTTTGTATGTCCATTTAATTGGTAGTTTAAGTACAAAACTAAGACAGTCATCCAAAAAACTTCGAGCAATGCGAAAAAATTAGTAATTATGTAACTCTATAACCTATAAGAATATGTGAAAGTAAAAAATTAAAATTTATAGCCAATTTTTCAGTAAAAAGGAATGCCCGTATTAAATGCATCAAGCTTCTAAGTGTTTGGATGGAAGATACTCAGACGTAAAAGATGTCCTATATTCTTGTCACAATTCAACCTAAAGGTCGAACTCACATGTTCTTCAAATACGATTAAACAGCTTTTTTGTCATTTCACTTTCAATCTCTTTGGAGATGGCGATAAATTTTTACATACATATATTTTCAAACTGTAAATTGTTAAGGAGAGGGCGCTAATTGCAGCTCGTCTGTATAAAAATTCAATGCCATGTCTTTTATAGAGTTACTTTTTCGATATTTTTCCATAAATTATCAAATATTTTTCAACCGTTAGAAAAGGACATAGTTAAAAACTTAAAWCTAGGATCGAGCGGATCCAATGCTTAGAGGTGCATTCCCTCACAGTCTAAAAATCAAGTCAAAGTGAGAGCAACCTTCTACGATTCAATATTTTCTCCAGTTTTGCAAAAAAGTAAAGCTATTTGTTTGAACTYACATTTGAGTAGTCACACCTTTGTGGCAGCATTGTGCTGAGCGKAGTAGTYGAAATGACAATTTATTATCATTTCCGATTGTGTTTAACCACACCGAATAAGCACCGGCAGCAATCGCTATGTTTATGCCAAACTGTGGCGAGTCAAACAACGTGCTTTTATGCGCAACCGCAAGCGTAGTTTACGTGCAACATTTGTATTGCTTATTGCTCTGTGGCATTTTGTAACCATGTCTGTGGCTGCCGCATGTTGCATGTTGCTTCTACAATACCGAGACGTGCACGACACATAAATACCACGCTTTTGAGTGGCTCTTGCACCCGCAGTGATTTGTAAACTTTTGTATGGAGAACTTCGAAGTTGTTGTTTTTGTTATAATGGTTGTTAATATCTGTACGAATAAAGGTAAGGTAAGGTAAGGTTTTAAAAAGCTTATACTTCATGAGTACTGTACAGTTGTTGTGAACAGAAGTTGGAACGTGTGGACCAATAAAGTGTAACAAGTAAGAAAAGGCTAAATTCGCATGTAACTGAGCATTTCGTGCTCTTGCCATTTACATGGACCAGAGCCGGAGATATAATCGCAATGAAAAACGAATTGTGCGAATGTATATGACATCGAAACTGCTCAATAGTCTACCAAATGATGTTCCAAAAATGAGCCGAAACCGAAAAATTCAAAATTCGCTGAAGGCACWGATAGCCATTCCAGCCGAGCCCTATAAAAGGTACACAAAGAACTGGTTTAAGCATTTTTGTGCTTATATTTGSCAGTCAGTACCTATTTCGAAGCTGATAATATAGATTTGTGTTTTTGTTTTTTTTTTTTGTCAGTCCGGGTCAAATTTGATGATATGCCAGTGTGATAATCGGAGAAATTCTAATCGGAGCGAATGATCGAATGATTTATTTTTATTTAATATTAATTTATCATAAACATTATATATTTCAAATAATATTATTGGAGTTATCTAACAATTCTTGCAACATACACAGCTCAYACAACCTTAGTAACTCTCTCTTTCTATCTCTCTCTAACACAATCAGCGCTGCATTTCCGCACACGTGCTGTATGTGCAGTCTCAAAGCGGCATGCAAGATTTCACAAGAATCCAACTAATTTCAAGAGACTCCACCAAAAGGCATGCCCCGCCACACTCGGCCCGCCGCTATACGCCTGCTCAATCAGTAAGCCAAGTCGCTGCATTACGCGACCCAACTCTTCCCCGCCACATTCCTTAAAACGCCAAATTTGCTCTTTGCTTGTGGCCAACTGTGCGCACTGTTCGAACTGTTGCACCGCYTCGGCACGCAACGCTTCACCCTCGGCGTGCATCCGCCCGGGCAGTTTGTGYACCAGCACATTATCGATTTTCAGYAGCGCTGCGCTGGTGAACTGCTGCACTTCGGTGGCAATGATGAGTGCCTCATCCGGTGSTGGCACCGCACTTGARCCCGCCGCAGCAGCGGAGCTCACGTACGTGTCGTTGGCAGCCGCTGCACTGGCASTTGCACACTTGCGTGGTTGGAAGGAGAGAAAAAAGTTAATTTCAAAAGAAATTGGAAAAGTTTTGTGAAAGCCAAAATTACAGCTAATATTACGCTCACCATTGACAGTAGCGCAATTGCAATGCCAGCAATGTTGCAAACAAACAACGATTTGTCACACATGGTCACTAAATCAATTTCGAGTTTCAAGAATTCAGCGCTGTGCACTTTTTGTGGTTAGCAGTTTTTTTTCCTGTGTTTCTCTCGGTGAAAGTTCCTGCCTTCCTCTGCGACAATTTCTTTGACAATGATGGTTTTCGCCCGCAAGTGGCTCGTGAAATAGAGAAACGCTGCAAAAGCTTCATCATGGTTAAACTTCAAGATGTTTTCACCGTGTTTATCTGCACATTATTGACATCATACACACACATATCCTCTATACATGTGTATGTATAAAACTGATAAGGCCGCTGCGCTGAGTCTGGCGATCTTAATTAGCATATTGTACTCACAAATATTTGTATTTACTCCCACGGTGTACCTACATATACTTATATATACAAATTTGCTTATCTGTTTATACAATTATATCAGCTTTGCTCCTTTGATCCCATAAATATGAGTAAATATTTTTATCACGCAATTTCTTGCGGCTCCAACAACAACATATTCGTATACATAATGTGGTTATTAACATTTTGCGCGATAACCCAGAGAATGTTTCGGTGAAACGGAAAATATGTCACTCTTTTAATAACACAGGGTAGGAAGGTAGAGTAGAATAGGTTTAGAAAGCCCATATTGATACCCCCGGAATTGAACTCCTCTCACACTATTGTCTCTTCTCCGAACTACCACGTGCTTCCGATAAAATTCATCAGTACAACGAAAAGGTGTACGAGTATGTATTTGTATAAACTCTGAAACGGCCTCAAAAACCTGTCGATCGACAGTTCCGGTTATTTTTTTATACAAAGCCTTTAATAGGCATAGAAAATATTTTATAGTTTCCTCTTCGCCCATACTGCTGAAATGTCTGAGAATAAAACAGTTATAACCCGTTAGCTCCCCTAATATATTTAGCATACTGGGTATTATATATAACCTGTCTGTCGACTAAATATCTGCAAGTAACAAGAGGTTCTCTCTGGCTAGCTCATCTGCTTTACAGTCAAGAATATCACTGGGTCTTAAAACCCTTTGCATGTTTATAGTGAAATAATAAGTTAGATCTCTTAGCGGAAGACATTCTTTCACTATCTTTGTCGAAATTCTACGAGATTTTAGTGATTTCAAAGCCGGGTAACACAATGAAAACATTTGAAAGCTTAATAGAAGCTGAGTAAAGCCCATATTTATCACTATGTGTACTTTATATTTTATAAATATTAACTAGGGACGCTTACGGTCTCGCATCGCGCAAGTTCGTCTGAATCACTCAGAGATCGTTTACCAGATATTAGGAGAGACATACGGTTTTAATAACGTGCACAATAAATACGTAAAAAACAGATCAGGTCATTTGATATTTCCAATATGAAAAGCGCAGAAATCATAACCTTATATATTTCATGAAAAATTTCCATWGTGTCATTTCTAGCGCCATAGCATTAATGAAACATAATAAATATACATAAATTTAGCCCAAAGTTTATCAGCTTCACGCTCACCGTACAATCGAAACACAAGCAAACGTCAGATTGCCAAGTCAAAATTACTGGTTGTATAGAATTCTACTATCGAACTAAAAAAGATGAATGATTAGCATTATGTGGACCGAATTGAATTCAGATAACCCAAGGGTCAGCTAGTCTATCATATAAAAGTCAGAATGGCTACATCTACTAAAAGATTAATGTCATTAGCATTATGCGGTACTAATTGTAGACCCTGTATCGAACATGAATAATTTACGTATGAGAACCAGATCTACATATATAAGGAAACATTAAGCTAAGTGACAAACATATAATCTTGTTGTGGCTATCAACAACTACAGCTTTATCTGTGAGGCGAGTACATTCTTAAATCCATTTAATAAACAATTAAGTACAGCATGAGTCATTGCTGGCTGTCAACTATCTTATGATGTGCTGCAGCTAAATTCTGAGTCAGCATTATTGCCAACATCACACTTCCCCAATAATTTACTAGCTTCGTAAAAGAAAACTGTTGATATCGATAGTTGCAATCTTCGTATTCACCGATGTCGAAAATTATTGGCAGACATTGCGGAAATTGCTTTTTTTGTTTGACGAGCTCAAAGGTTGTTAAACTCTGAGACATAAGCGCTAAATATAAATGAAGGTAGGTCAGAGTACAACCCTTTCAGCCTCAGTTTTTTTAACGCGTGTTCTCCATATGGCCACTKTCTCGTTATGGTGACTGTAAATTGTATATATGCTATTGCTACACTCTCTCTTAAGCTCTAAGTTCTTGTAGGGAAATGTAAAAAGTTATACAGTATTTCCAACATAAGTGACATTCCACGAAGGAAGGGACTTTGAGTTAAAAACATAAAATTTTGTACTTGTAGTTTACCCCCCCCCCCCCAAAATTCTACTCTGGGTCCGCCCCTGAGTTCGTATCATATTATATTTTGGCCATATTTGCTTTGCTATCTTGCCTTTGGTTGTAAATTCCCATCTGTTCTGACCCATTCGTTCAAAATGCTAAAAATTATCTCTCTCTTAAACGTTTCTAAGAAGCACGATATTAGTTTATTAATTCTTTGTATCTTCCCGTAGTTATTCAGTGAAGTACACAGGTCTTCTCAATGCCAAATATTCCGGAAGATCTTAGCTGAGTTTAGTAAACAGGTGAAGCGAGAGCGATACCAAAATCATCGAAGTGCACTACCAACCCGACTTTRCAGTCCATTTTTRACCAGACTTCTCCATTCACGTCTAGCGGTATTCTCAGCTGCAAGTCACTATTKWAATCCAACCTTTGAAGAATATAGTCTRATTYGTTTAGGTTAGTATCGTGCTGGCTCAGAATTTCGCTATCACCATAACTCTTTCWGTTCCAACCACCAATCTTCTTAATTCTTGTATGAAAACGTCTATGGGCAATTGGTGCAGGAGCATATTAAGCGAAGGACTTAAGGGCTCGGATAATGCTTGCACAGACTAGCGTCTGTATTCCGATAAATTTTTTGATATTATATTGTTTCTTTAAAGCTGGCCATCAAACCAGCGCTCCATAAGTTATACATCTGCATGACTTTATTTATTTTCAGAACCCAGTTCCTGCTGAGTATTCGATTAAATACATATTACATAAATTTAGAAGCTTTAACCCCTCCTATAAATTTTCTTATATCTATGTATACAAATAACTTAATTGCKTAACTAGTTGCCAACTTACAAAAAGTACAATAATTTAAACTAAAGTCAACAACAAAAAACCCACGCTACGCTGCGCCATAGAATAGCAGCTTGCCTTTGGCAAAACACTTCTAACGCCCACAAAAAAGTCGAGCATAGCAAAAATAACTCGAGCACCCAACCACACACACAAATGTGGCAAAAATWACAGCGAAATGATAAATTYATAGCGAGACAGAGCTGCAAACAAATTTAAATAATTTTAAAGTGACGAGATTGAATGAAAGTGTCAGAAAGAGTTATGACAGCTGGGAACTCGACATGTTTTGCCAACTGGCATAATTTATGCAGCAGTTTTGACAAGAAATTACAAGACTACGCGYATTTGTATGACTGTGCAGCGGGTGTGACAGCAGCGATTGGACGGAAGGGGCGGCGTGACGTGCGCAGAGCCGTCATGGTAGCAAAACGCACAGTTTTAATAACACAATTTTAGTGCGAATCTTTCTACGGAAATTATTTTTATACATTTTTATAGATATATTTACATACAAACAGGCATACATAATAGTAGATACATRTGTGTGTACATAGCCAGCAACATTGTCAGCAAAAATGAATTGTGATCGCAATAAGAAGACAATAAAATGAGTTGCAGAATGTGTAGCGTTATAAAGAGAGCATTTAATAATGCRGAGACTTGAGAGCGTAAGGGTTCCATTAACCCATCAGTAAACCATATTAGCTAACCAAATAGTAAACACTCAATATATATATATATAGATATTAGTTCATAAAATTACTCCGTTATTTCTGACTTCAAATATTTTAATCCTGGTAGGGCTGTTCGACAGTTTTTTTTTATATTTCAGCAAATGGAAAATGCAACCCTGCGATATTCAGCTATAATGTAATTAATGTTTGAAGCTATATGTGAAGAAGTCTCTATATAYTTTAATTGTAACTTTATATTTAGAAGAATACGAGGCCAGGAAGCAGAGGTATAATCTCTTACATTAAGTGAAACTCATGATGGTCGTATGAGCCGACATAAAAATCTCTAAAAMTGGGTTACATGTTCAGGAATTAACGTTATAATTAGGGTTAATGAAAGAGGTTGCCTGAAGTCCTCTGATATATGTAGGTAAACATGAAAACTGGATATATTGACCAACCTATATTCACATTGAAYTAGTTCTAACATTGTTAAGATGTTTCATTAGAATAGTTACCACARCTTAAGCTCAACAAATCTTACGCCACATCTTAACTTTGAACAGTGATATCTAAACCAAACATACAATATACGAAATATGCATATTATTACCACCGTTATCAATAACATGGACACGAATACTTAAGTGAAAATAATTAATGTGTTAAAATATCTTATAATTTGTGAGTATACACACCTGTAGAAGCACACATATATTATCAGAGTACAGATCGGAGGTTTTTTTCTGTTAGAAACCGAGAAGCAATAGCACGTTGATCAGTAATTTGGTCTCAAGCCCGAAAACATTATTCAATTAGTAGTTGAGTCGCGCTGTTGTGTCCAAGAAATTCAGAAATTTTTTGAAAAAAAATATCATAAACTCGGCCATTACGACGCCATTTCCCCCTCACACCCCTCGGAAAAAAGATGAGCCCGCGTGGGCAGGATAACTCCTTMAAGATTCATCTAAAGTGAAAAATAGGAAATTTAAATCGGAACTTAAAASTTTGATGAAGGAAAAAAAAGCTTAAAATTGTATTTTTGGCAGACATTTTTACAAAAAAAATAAAATAGAAG